AAGAATGCATCTTCAACCCCTGTCTCAAAGGATTCTCACCAATAACGTTTCACATACACACACGCACACACAATTACAAAACATATAAGGAAACAGGAAAGCATTGGCAACATCAAAAAGCAGAGTCATATTCACAAAGATTTTAAAAATTGGTATTATATATATAGCATACAAAATAAGTATGTTTAAGAAAATTAAAAGAAGGGCTTAAAAATGTAAGAAGTAACTGACTATAAAAATGAGCAACTTCTTTTTTAAAGGGACCAAATAGAACTTCTAGAAATGAAAAATGTAAAACTCAAAATTAGAAACTCAATAGGTAAGTTAAATGGCAAAGGAGAGACAGATGAGAAGAAAATTGTCAAACTAAAAGAAAAATTCTGAAATGATTGCGCAGCAAAGAGATGATAAAACATGAAAGGGAATGGAGTGTCCGACTAACAGCAATCAGAGTTCCATAAGGGGATAATAGGATAGGGAGAGAAAATATTCAGAAAGACAAGTCTGAGAACTTCAGAAAATTAATGAAAGATAGGAATACTCAGATATGATGTAGGATTGGGGGAAAACATCCACACCTAGAAGAATTGTAGTGATTCTACGATTCGATGCAGAATATTAAAGATAAAAAGATCTGAAAAGCAGCAGAGAGAAAAGACAGATGGAGTGACAGACTACCACCTGACATCTCAACCGCATGAGAGGAAGCCAGAAGACTACAGAATAATGTCTTCAAAAATGCTGTGAGAAAATAAGTCAAGTTAAAATAGTATACTCAGGCAAAACTATCTTCCAAGAAAGACATTATTCCAGCGAGAGGATCTACAAAGTCAAAATTTGATCCTTTGAAAAGAATATCAAAATTGACAAACTTCTAGCAAGAAAAAAACAAAAACAACAAAAATGATACCAGAAATGAAAAAGGACCCATAGTTATAGGTGCTACGGAAAGTTTAAAAATCGATAAGCAAATAATATAAACATTCTTTTGCACAATCACAAAAGTATCAAAAGAAATTAAACACGGTCTAAATAAGTGGGAGATATAAGATGGAACTTGACAAGCGTCCTCAAATTTATATGAAAGAGTAGAAGACTGTAGGAAGAACAGGAGAGGAGAACCTACCCAACCAGATTTTAAGTCTTTTTGTAAAGCTTTTATACGATGGAGTATTGTACAGTCATAGATAAATTGATTAATGTCCCAAGTAACAGATCAGTGAGAATAGGGCAAATTCACAAATGATGTTGGAACAATTGGATATTGAGATAAAAAAAAACATGAAAATTATTCCCTATTGCAAAGCAAACAAAAAAATGAAAAAGTATTAAAGAATTAAAAAGTTGTGTGAAACTTTAAATTTTGGAAAAGGTATAGGTAAACATTTTTATTTCCTCTGGATAGGGAAAGTTTTCATTTTTCTTTTTAAAGAATACTCAAAAAGTATAATCTTTAAAGTAAATGTTTCCTGAATTAGACAGTATTAAAATAGAAACTCTGTGGAAAACACTGTTAAAAATAGTGAAAAGACAAGCCACAAATAGAATATATTTGGACCACGTAACCAACAAAAGATTACTTCCGGAATAAATATATAACCCTAAAAATCAATAAGAAAAGGACAAATAGAAAGTTTATAAAAGCCATAGGTAGGCATTTTATAGAACCAACATAAAAGTCCAATGAAATATTGCAATGATACTCAATTAATGGTAATAATTAGAGAAAGGAAAATTAAAACTACAAGGGATACCAACTTATATTCTCTGTGTTGACAAAAATGAGATCCTGTGTTAATGAGGATGTGGAACACGGAAACTCTTTGTACAATGATACTGAGATTTACAAATTGGTACAATCACTTAAGAAAACGATTTGGGATAATCTCATAGAATTGAAGATATGCATATCCTAGAAGTTATTAGTGTCACTCTAGAAACTTGTGCAAATGTGCACCAGAAGTCTTTACCTGAAGAATAGTCACTGTAGCTTTTTTGCTTTGTGTAATAGTAAATCTTGAAAATAATTAAATGTCTGCTTAAAAGCACTGGATAAATAAACTGTAGTTATCATATAGTGTAATACTTTACAGCAGTGAAAATGAAAGAACTGAGTACAGCTATAAATCAACAAATGTGAATTTTACAAGTGTAAAATTCAGCATAAATTAAACAAATCAGGGAAAATTATAAACAGCATAATAATATTTATATCAAAATAAAAAACATGCAAAATTAAATAGGTCAATTAGGAATACATATTTAAGGTTAAGACATTAAATGAAAGCAAAGAAATCATAAACATGAAATTCAAATATTGATTACCTCTGACAGGGGTATAGAATCAGGGCAAGTTCTATTTTTTTAATCTGGACAGGGACACTTTGTTAATATCCCTTTAACATTTCATTTACGTTATTTATTTTCTATGAAATGTGTAACACCTAAGGGAAAAAAACAGAACACGGGACGAAAATATACAGCTCAATGAATTGTCACAAAGCACACACCTGCATAATTACTACATAGGTTAAGTAATAAAATATTCAGCACCCCAGAAACTATGTCCTCCAAAGGTAACCAGTGTCCTTATAGATTTATTTTCTATGCATGAATCTTTAAACCCTATTTTTTTCTTTGCTCCTGATTTTCTAGTTTAACATGAATGAAGGCATAAAGTTAATTTTTTTGTGTCTGCTTCTTTGGTCGACATTATGTTGGTAGATTTATACATTTTATACGTGTTGTTGAATGTCTATAGTTCTTTCGTTTTTATTGTTGTATATTTTTCCATTGCATGGATACATCACAATGTCTCTATCCATTCCACTGTAGATGGACATTTATGTAGTTTCTAGTTTGGAG